AGAAGCCGCGGGCTCGGCATCGGGGCGCGAGCACGCCCGGGGTCCCCTGCACCCAGGCACGGGACCAGCAGGCAGCCCTCACAAACTCCGGAGGCCGGGCCCAGCGCTGACTTCCGACTTCCGGCTCCGGCCGGAAGTGACGCCCTCGGGCCGCGCCCGGCGGGGCATGGCGTCGGAGCGAGGCGGGCGCACCCTGGCTCCCGGTGCTGGGGCCCGGGCCGGGGTCGGAGAATCCGCGGGGCGCCGGGGCCGAGGGCCGGGGCAGGCGCGTCCGCTCGCTGCCTCCCGTGTGCCGCGGAGATAGGAGGCGCAGCCCGGCGGCTGGGACGCCCGGCCGGGCCCTGGCCCGTGCTCAGCCGGCGCGATGCTCTTCTCGCTCCGGGAGCTGGTGCAGTGGCTGGGCTTCGCCACCTTCGAGATCTTCGTGCACCTGCTGGCCCTGTTGGTGTTCTCCGTGCTGCTGGCACTGCGCGTGGACGGCCTGGCGCCCGGCCTCTCCTGGTGGAACGTGTTCGTGCCCTTCTTCGCCGCTGACGGGCTCAGCACTTACTTCACCACCATCGTGTCCGTACGCCTCTTCCAGGACGGAGAGAAGCGACTGGCCGTGCTCCGGCTCTTCTGGGTCCTCACGGTTCTTAGCCTCAAGTTCGTTTTCGAGATGTTATTGTGCCAGAAGCTGGTGGAGCAGACTCGGGAGCTCTGGTTCGGCCTGATCACGTCCCCGGTCTTCATTCTCCTGCAACTGCTCATGATCCGCGCCTGCCGGGTCAACTAGCCTCGCAGAGGAGCCGGAGGGGAGGAGCTCTGGGTAGCTAGAATGCTGGACTCCAAGCTGAAGTCCCACTTCCACTGCACCAGAGAAGTCTGGGTCTGAAACTAATGCCAGATTGCGTCTTGCAGCGTGCCCAGTTTGCTCTATACCAGTCGTGTCTGAAACCGTTCTCCCAGCAGGGCTGAAAAGAACAGCTTTGATCCTTAAAATGTGTTTCTTGTTATTTCACGCTTTAAATAGCTAATCCTGAATTGAGAACTCCTCTGAGAGTTGGAAGCCATATAAGTGAAACACCCCGATGGGGTCTGAGTGTTTTCATGGATCCTGAGAAATCACCCCTTGCGCAAAGGCTGCAAAGCCAGTCTCTGGAATTTCCTCTGGCTCGCATCACTGACCTAAAAGCTCAGTGTCCCATTCACCCAAACTTCCTTAGAGGTTTGAGCTCTAAAATGTGCAAACTAGCTTGTGTCTCCTCCCCTGTGCCGCTGGGGAAAGGATGGTCCTTTCTTCATGTCAGCCCAGGTGACAGGAGTGTGTTGAGTAAGCATGATCTTGACTCTATCCGGAGATCTGTCGCCTGAGGAAAGAACTTTGCTTAATTTAAAGGCTCTGCTTGGCTTCCTATCCCAGCAGATTGCAGTATCATGACTTTTCCACCACCTTGTGGCCGGCACTGTTAACACACCTGAGACAGAATTGGGCCTCCCTAGGGGACCGGAGAGAGAGGAACAGGTGCTTGCGATGCTCATCGGCTTTGAGACCTGCGAGTGTGAAGTTTGAGAATGGTCTCAGCCCACATTCGTGGGCCTGAGGTCTTTGGTTTGATGCCAGTCAGGTGCCAAATGAGAACATTTGCTGAGATAAAAATAAAATGAGAATGTTTTGCTGAAATGCACAGTGGTTTCCTGACCTGTTGAGAGTGAACGCCCCCCGCTGTGTGGTGTAGCTGGTTAGAGCCGAGAGCGTGGTGGGGCTAGAACACTGTGAGCGCTTTGTGGGTGGATGGGGAGGGTGCCCCTCCGAAAATCCCTCCTTCCCCGGGAACCGCATGAAGACAAATGGGTCAGGCCTGTGTTTTGGACCTACCAAGTAGTTTGTGTGACATCAAAGCCTTGGCATCCTGCCTGTGTGTGGTCTTTGTGGGCCTTGCTGTGACTGTAGAATAGCAGTCAGCACGCTGTGGCCCGAGGCCTGTTTTTGTACCCGAACGTTTTTACATTTTTAAAGGGTTGTAAAAACAAAGAAGAATGTGTGACAGAAAGCAAACGTGGCCTGCTGTGTACAGGATGGCTCAGTCCTGACACCGTGGCCTTGGGGAAAGATCATTCTGTATTGGAAGGGAGCTTTCCTGAGCACTGTAGAATTGTAGTTTAGCAACATCCCTCGCCTTTACTTACAGAGTGCCAGTTGCATCCCTCATTTGTGATAACCAGAAGTGTCTCCAGACATTGCCAAGTCTCCCAGGGGGAAATAACTGCCCCTGGTGAGCACCACTGGGCAAAAATATTTACTGTCTTGTCCTTCTACAAAACAGGTTTGTGGCCCCTTTGCCTAGGATGTATGCTGCATGGCCATTGAGATGCTTGAGTTAGAGACTGCTCTGGTTTGTCTCCAGCTTCAAAAATATCTCCTACCCAGAAGTGGCATCACTTGTGCCAAAGCCAGATACAAGCTGAATGTTTGGAGTGGGTTTCTTTTAAAGTTATTTTTAGGTTGCATCTTTTGTTGGCCCCTTGTTTTATTCTGGTAAGTTCAGAATTAGGTAATCCTATTGCTGTAGAAGCGATGCACATAAGAAGGTTTAGCTTCCTTTGGAAAGGTGATTTACCACTGTGGCACCCAGAAGCTGAGAAGGGCACCCCAGGTTGAAACCTGCACCAGGTCTCCACAGAGCCCCAGGTGCCCCCGGAACTCCTTCCCTGAAGAACGAGTGGTGTGGGAGGCAGTAGTGTCATTGCTGAGCAACTGTGGGCAGCTATGGAAATACAGGTGACATTCGTCTGTGTCGTTGCTCCCCAATTTCCCCTTCTCCCCTTGGTTCCAGCAGACCTGAAGGAATGTGGTGGGTACTTGGAGTAAGCTTCCTTATGGCACATGGGCAAGGAAGCTGCGTCCTCAGGGTCTGTGGGACCCCTATCAGCCTTGGGATGAGGGAAGTTCACCAGTAACTTGGGAGGCAACAGGACAGAAAATATTGCCTGGCTTTTGAGTCTTTCTGCTTTGGATAGCTGTGGGCCTGGAGAGGCAGTCCCTTTCTTCTGTCCCTCCTCACAGCTTGCGCACCCCCCTTGGCGGGCCCTGGATGGCAGAATATGGGGTAGAGCTTCTCCCACTTGTATGAACAGTCATTTCCTAGGGCCGGCAAACGCTAGGGGTTCCTGAGAAGCCGACTCCTCAGCACTAGTCAGGCTCCAGCATTGGTATCTCTGCTAAGTCCCAAAGGGGTCCTAGGACCACAGGTGGGCAGTCTCTGGACTGGGAGGCGTGACCCTTGTGTGCAGCCAGTGTACCAACCACAGGAGCGGGTATAGACTTCTGGTTCTGGAAAGGCCCGTCCTCCACCGCACTCTCAAAGAAGGGAAGAGACGGGCGGGATGCTGGCACAGAGGAAGGACCTGGCTGGGCCAAGGTCAACCGCAACGCAAGGGTTCATCTCCCGCCCCCACCAGGACCCGCCCCCACCAGGCTCCGCCCCGCGGGTGCTACGAGCCAGGCGCAGAGGCGGAAGTAAGGGCCACCAATGAGCAGCGCGAAGTGTTGGGGGCGTGTCCAAAGGGGCCTTCCCCAATGGAGGCCGGCTTCGGCAGCGGGCGCCGTCCAATGAGCCCCTGAAGAAGGCGGGATCAGGGAGAATGCTCTCCAATCAGCTAGGCTGACCATCCGCCCCTGCCATAGGTGGGGCTGCCCGGTGAAGGGAGGGTCTGAGCTGGCCTCCAATAGACCAGGGCTGGGGTGGGCGTGGCCGCGGCGGGAAGGCCGGCGGCG